TTTCATAAATGTCCGGTAACAAGATTTGAATACACAATAATTGCCTAAATAACAAATTATCTTGTCTAAAATTTAAGTTTAATTCAATATATATTTTAGTTTTCCTTTTTTTTTTTTTTTAACTTTTTTCATTCATCAATATATTGATTTTGTATAAAGATTTATTCTATTAGAGAAGTGGTAATGCATGTCGACCATTAAGATTAAGTGGCCCAAATCGAGATGAAATGTCACTATCATCGAAAAACAAGTAACATGCATCATTTCTTATGTATTATTGTAAAATATTATCATCACTTCGTTCAAAAACTATAATCAAATATGATCCCTCCTAAATCATTCGAAATCAAGTCCACCCCAAGCCCAATCATATGAGGCTCACTCCTATTTCAACTTTCAAGCATGCACCATTTTATTCACCCATTCCACAAGAATGCTCCAACATCGATTTGAACATGAGATTTCCAATTCTAATACCAAATTGATGTCACTACGCCAAAAAACATCATTTGCAACATTAAAAAGGCAACATTTGTTGATAAATGTTGCTAAAAAGGTCTTTTGGCAACATTTTAGTAAGTGAATGTTGCCATTGATTAATATAAATGAGTTTTGGCAACGTTTTTTGAAAAATGTTGCGATATCAAGAATGCTCCAACATCGATTTGAACATGAGATTTCCAATTCTAATACCAAATTGATGTCACTACGCCAAAAAACATCATTTGCAACATTAAAAAGGCAACATTTGTTGATAAATGTTGCTAAAAAGATCTTTGAGCAACATTTTAGTAAGTAAATGTTGCCATTGATTAATATAAATAAGTTTTGACAACGTTTTTTAGAGGAATGTTGCGAAAAGGACCTTTTGCAACGTTTATGGAGTATTGCAGAAGGTGGGACCTTTCGCAATGTTTATTAAACGTTGCGAAAGCCACCTTTCGCAACGTTTAATAAATGTTGAGAAAGGTCCCGAAAGGTCCCTTTCGCAACGTTTATTAAACATTGTGAAATGTCATTTTCGCAACGTTTAATAAACGTTGCCAAAAGTTTCAACGCTTATTTAGAAAAGTTTCAACCCTTATTCACTCCTCCCTTGTTAACCCAAACCTACCTGGCCAAAACGCCGCCTTGCCAAAACCTACCCTTGCCAAAACGCCGGACAACCCATCTCCGGCCACCCGTATTGGGTCTTCACCAATTTGGCCCAAATCGACACGAATTTGAATCTGAAGTCTGGGCTGGTGCGAACTTGCGAACGCAGTGATTTTCATGATTTTGATATGAATTTTGTGTATTGCACCATAATGGTAGTATGTGTTTGCTTTCATATTCTACATGTATGAATCATGGCCAATGAATTTGTCGTTTCTTATGGTTTTTATTATGTAGTTTGTCTCTTCATTTTTACAATAATGATGGATCTCTAGTCCAATTGTTATTGCTTCAGATTGTGAAGGAGTTGGTGAACAATTTTGTGTGACCTCAATTTTTACACTAAGGCGTGATTGAATTTGTATGATGTGGTTTCTCGTTTTGAATTGAGTTATTGGATTTTAGAGGTGAATCTGAGATGCTTTTGAAATTGATTTATAAAATTTGGAGCTTTATTCATCTTAGATGTGATTGAATTTGTATGATTTGGTTTCTCATTTTTGAAATGAGTTATGTTAGAGGTGAGTTTGAGTTGCTTTTGTGGCAGCCTGAAAAGTGTAGGGTTTTATTATTTTAGTTTGAAAGTAGAGATAAAGATATTGAACTCATGGGATTTGTTTGAAGTTTATCATATAATAGAAGTTGTATAAAGGTACAAATTTATATGAAAGGATTATTCCTGGCATGTGCTGTAATACACTGTTTATGATAAATTAATTGATGTTTTAATCTCAACCCCTAGGTAGACTGTAGACATGCTTTAGTGATTGCTTACCATTATCTTTAGTGGCGTAATAACAAGTGTTCATCTCTAGCCCCCATGGTATCAATGTATAATCATATCCTAAAGGACGATGCATTCCATACAAGAGTACCTAGGATCAGGAAATCTTCTATCTTACTCGAGGAATAATCCTTATTTTGCAAAAGGCTTCTTATTCTTGAATGTTATCTCACGATTGATGGAAACCTGAATTTATAAATTTGATTTCATTCTTTTAAGTAACAATGTAATGCTGAGGCAGCAAAGACTACAACTCAACAGGAATGTTGAGTACTGGCTACAGGACAAGTGGATTGGTTGTTTCCCTGTGAAATGACACGTTGTGAAGGATGTACCCAACAGCAGTTTCAGAAGCAGGTATTTTATTAAATATATTATTTTGTTTAGTTGGGTTAGTTTTTAAGGATTTGGGGCCACTATGGAATGCTTTTCCTGTTCAGTGAAAATGATCTTGATGTACCTACTTTTTTTTTTTTTTTACAGATGCAGGTATGAGAAGGTAACCCAAATGGAGAGATTAAATCTAAGTCTTCAGAAATTGCTTTTGATGTGGTCAAGGAGACTACAACAGTTCAGACTAATGTGGATGACAACCTTCCCGAGAATAGTTCTCTTGCAAGATGGTTGACTTACTCGTATTTGGACTTGAAGGAAAGTTGTATGTTGGTGGCATGTCACCTACGTTGCCGTATCCTGTCACTCTACGGCAACACTGGGATTTGCAACATTTATCCAAACGTTGGAAAAGATCTTTGTCAACATTTTTTGAACGTTGTTGTATCCTATTTTTGGCGTAGTGTGTGGGTTTTGTCACCACTTTGTTTAGAAGTTATCATTCGAATTTTGGTATGACCTGCATTCTGTTTTGAATGTATATTTGGAGTTGGTTGTTTGATTTAGAGAACTACTGAAGAAGTAGATGGCCACGAGGAGTTAAAGTAGTGTTTGGACTCCTATTTCAACTCAAATACTCCGTTATTGGTATTACCTTTTGTAATATGACTTTATCTTGTGTTAGACTCTAATTTGTATTATATTCTCCTAGTGTGTTGGAATTCTTTGATTATAAATATGTGTTATACAACACATTAAGATTGATTAATTGTCCAACTTATTAGTTTGGTTCAGAGAGACCTCTTGTACTTCTTTGCTATTGATACTAGTGAATTCTTTGAATCTGCCAGTGGTTTTTCCAGATCTGAGTTTCTATGTTAAATCTTGTATAATTCTTTTAATCTTTTCATAATTTTTTTGGCTTTAATATTAATAACAAGTGGTATAAGTTTTATCTTCGAATTATTGCAAATTGACTTGTTTTCTAATTTTTACAATTGATGGGACAAGTGTAATCCACATAACAATTACGAAAAGGGAAAATTAGGCCAACTAACCTAAAAATATATCATCTTTGATTAATACCTTTCAAACTAAAATAAAATGATATTACCGTATTAATTATCCCCATCAGACGAGTGTTACCCGCACATTGGCAATCCATCTGTAAGTAAGGATCCCGGTCGTCATCTTCCGCCTCCTCTCCTACGTCGTAGTTCTAGGATGTCGGGCATAAGGATAAACTAGGGTTTAGAGTTGACCTTGAGTGGAACGCAGGAAATGATGAAGATCAAGTTGCTTTGAAGCTTCAATCACAGGTAATGGTCGCCTTGCCTTCACCGCAAGATACTGTTCAAATTGAATTAAGGGAGAGGGGCAAAACCGGCGAGAGCAATTCGGAAGGTGGGGTGATTGATTATGGGGGTCATTTGGCTAATGGGATGGGATGAACTTGCTATTGGATTTGGTGGAGGTTGTAGCGGTGGTTGATTGATTGGGTTGGAATTTGGTACAATTTATTTATTTATTTTTAAATAGAAATATTAATTGGTTCAATGTGTCAAGCTTCGCAAAAGGTCATCAAAATTGAAATTGCAAAACATTAAATTTCAATCTTAGCACATATATGAAGCTTCATGCATAATCCTAAAAAGAAACAGTAAAAGGGCTCTGAATGGCTTAAGATCATAAGTCCGCCAGCCAGATCACTGTTGCAGAAAATATACTCGTATGATCTTCCAACACCGGTGTTGTCATCATTATTGATTTTCTCCTCAGCGCGATCACTTTCTTTGCTTGAATTTGTGTCGGAATTTGTATGTTTTTGGGGTTCCGTCTCAACCAAATTTTGCTTCCAAAAAGTCTCCCTAGGAAGTTGAAAATTACTGTAGCAGAATTTTTTATATGACGTTTGAAGAGAAAGGGATGAAAACTTTTTTTTTTTTTCCAATTTTCTGTCACTTTCTTGAAATTATCATTACTTTTTTTTTGAGTGGCAAACATTAATTTTTAATAAAAGTGATACTTAACTTAAAAAAGTGAGATATTGTCACTTTTTTATGAAAAGTGTGACGTTGTGTCACTTTTTACACAATATTTTTTCCTTTTAAAATACTTTTTATATTTGCTCATGTTCATGTTTGCTCAAACAATTTCGATGTTTTCGATTGGTGTTTGTGCCACTTTTTTGAATTTGTCACTTTTATACATTTTGTCACTTTTTTTAGTTGTCACTTTTTTTTTAAGTTTTTGTCACTTTTAAGAAAATAAAAAATGAAATAATATGTTATATTGTCCTAACATAATCAGCATGTGGATTGACCTGAACGTTGTGATTATTTTAAGAACATGATTACTGGTACTGCACAAATGGATGATGCTATTTTGGTATTTGTCACTTTTTTTGAGTTTGTGAAAAAAGTAAAAAAGTGACAATTTTTGTAAAAAAAGTGACATCTTGTCACTTTTTCATTTTACACAGTATTTTTTACTTCCTAAAATTTTTTTATATGATTTTTCAAAACACCCCTAATTTTAAGGGTATTTTTGTAAGTACCCCTTACAAAAATCCATCCCAAGCCCATTCCATGGGTCCACTCTAATTTAAAGTATGCTCCTACATATGCACCCCTCGCAATACAATTATAAATAGATCAGAAAGTTGAGGGAGTTCTTCCCATCTTTCATTCAACTTCTTAGTGTCTTCTTTATTTGCTAAGGAAAAAAAATGGGTCTTAAAGGTAAATTGACAGCCCAAGTAGAGATGAAGGCTGGTGGAGATTTATTTCACGAACTCTTTAGGCACAAACCACAACAAATACCCCATATCAGCCCTACTACCATTCAAGGCTGCGATTTGCATGAAGGAGAGTGGGGAAATGTAGGCTCTGTCTACTTCTGGAAGTACACTCATGGTAAGCGTACGTTGTTTAGTATACAAAATTAGACCATACTAATTCACTCTATTGAACGTAGGATAACATGATTATCTGGCTTTCTTTTGTATGAAGTTTGTAAACTTTGAAATAATTGTAGATGGGAAGCAGCAAGTAGCAAAAGACGTAATTGAAACCATAGACGACGAAAAGAGGTCAATTACATTTAAGGTTGTCGAGGGTGATTTGATGAAGCTGTACAAGGCATTCAAAGGAAGTTTTCATGTTGAAACTCATGGTGGCATTGATCTGGTGACATGGACTCTTGAGTACGAAAAGCTAAATGACGATGTTGAAGAACCACTCTCATTGTTGAGCTTTTGCATCAAACTTGCAAAAGATATTGAGGCACACCATCTCAAGGCAGCTTGATATGGATAGGGTTCTCTTCTTACATGAGTGATGGACACTCATCTAGCCAGCTCCGTTGTGTGTTTTTGTTGTTATTTTATGAATAACAGTTGTCTGGTGAAGTTTGTGATCGAATAATAATATTGCATGTTCCTCCTCCATATAATATGTATGGCACTATGGCTTTTTCTTGAATACATTAAACTTTTTATTTTGTGTGAATGACACTATTACCTATTGGTATTATAGTTTTCAGTTTCTTTAGAAATTGGAAATGGAAGAGACTTAGGGTTCAAATGAACTTGGTCCAGTCAGATAGTAATGGGTTGAATTTGTAGAGAAATGAATAGGAGAGTTTTGCAAACCATCGAGTGAAAAGAGGTAATTTATTTGAACAATCACCTCACTCATGAAAGCAAGCCGCTACTAGAAGTTAACTTGCTCCTAACAGCAGGTCACTCCTAATAGTCACCTTGTCGAATCGAATTGGATATGAACAGATTGAGTCTATATCCGATCAATTTACAACCCTACTTAAAAGATAATATGTGCAACCTAAGCACAAAATTTGTTGTCAATTATCGGAGCTTATGATGATGATAAAAATGATACAACAAGACTACGAACCACTGGTTTGATTCTAATAAAACGAGATTATATTATTTGGAAAGAATATTACCCAAATTGGGCTTAATCAAGTCATATGAAGATTGAAACTATACTTTCCTATTCTAATCAAACTATGGCTCTTTTTTTTATGTAATAAAAACATGCCATCATCCCTTCATTGAAGGTACTATTATTTTACTGTCTACATAATTATGCTATTGTTTGACTATTAGTCTATCTCTTCTATTGATCATTGAAAAAACATAGTGATTTTAATCTAAATCAAATTCAAAAATCAATTTTAATAACATATTTTATGGGATCCACAATTTTTGAACTAAACATTTCATCAAAATTAACTAAAAATCTGATTTAGTCCCCTCCGAACAGGGGCTATATTACTTCAAAAATTGACTTAGGCACCAGATAGACTACATGATCGACACTCCATGCCTTTATTTCAGGTACTCAAAGACTCAAGGAGACATTCCAGTGCTGCAACAAGGTTGAACCTGTCCCAATTCATGATCAATACTGAAAGATACAGTTTTTTTTTTTACATCAAATAATACCATTAGACAAAAAAAAGAAAAAGAAGAAGATATATTTCACAATTTTTTAGTGCCATTTCTAGTCTTATCTGATTGAATTTTAAATAGTGATTTTCTCTATCTAATTTTATATATTCTAAATTGCTAGCAAGATAAAATGGAAGTTCTCTTCCGAAAATGGGCATGTAACCTATCATAGAAGATTATTTTCTAATTAAATAATATGTAAGCTATAATAAAATATTGTCATCCTTAATTAATATGTGATTTATATAACCCATTTCTAAAGCATAATTAAATGATGTATAGTTATATTCATACACGGATTATGTTTTTTTACCCATTTTAATTGAAATGAAGTTTTTCAAAAAAAACAAAAAAAAATTATTGCACTTCTGCCCCCGTTTTCATATTATTCCTATCCTCAATATTCCATTAATTATTTCATAACGTCTTTGATGGTAGTTTCTGTCCGAAACTTCAATAAAATATTTTTCTCTCATTTCAAAACTTGCTAATTGAATATATGGGCAGAAGCGAGCATCAGGAACAAAATGTACTAATTAATTGATGGTTAATAAAAACAATGTGTCGAAAAAATTAAGAACACAAGTGCAACAATAATCGAAGGTTGAAAATCTTAATTGTAATTAAATTATTGTAAATGAAAGAAAAACATAGGTGTGTGTGTGTATATATTAAAAAAATACCCTTAAATGATATATTTAAAGTGAGTAGATCAAGTGAATTATGTGATAGTGGAAAGTCCAAACCGTCTCCCCATACTGTCTTCCACAATAAATTGCATTTATATCATCTCATAATTCATCGAGATTATGTAGGTCAGATTGAGACAATATCTCGAAAGATCAAGTTGGTCGGCTCAATAGTTAAATTAAAATAAAAACGTGACAGAAATACCTCCAAACTTTTATTCATGACTTTTAAGTCTTTAATCTTTCGGATTAATTTTTAGCGATTTATTAAAACGCCAAACTTAATTGAAAATATATCTAAAGGAAAAAAAAAGAGAGAGAGAGAGAGAAGGATGAAGAAAGAATGAAAATTTGAATATACAATAAACTTACAATCACATGAATTCTGCGTAAATATATAATAATTGTTGAGCTCGTGTGTACGAAAGCACTTGTTCACACACATGTCTATGTAATTCGTGAGTTAGGGGTATTTTCTTTTCAGAGTCCTTAAATTCTTAAAAACTTTCAATATTGTCCTTTACATTTTTATGCTGCAATTCGTTTGTATGCAACGTCATCAACAACTTTTTTTTTTTGTGTGTGTCAAACTCGTTTCGATGAACAATTTATATAACTACCTTTTTTTTCTCAAATTGCCAAGAGCGTAATTGTATCGGAGGTATATTGCCTCGACTTTAGTTAGATCTGGTCATGTAAATCAATCAAGAAAATTCACATTGTCGCACGATATTATTATTTTTTTTCCCAAGATTTTGATAAATTTTTGAACCAATGAATGGGTGTTTAAAGTTGAGGGACTAAAGAGACAAGTAAACAAAATGAAAAGTTTGAAGAACTTGGGACCTTTGGAAGCAATAAAATATATAAGCAGAAGTGGTATTAAATTAAAGGTATAGTGGTCAATATAATAGTAAGTGACCTTCAAAATTAAATAACAGCTTTGGAGATATTAGCTATGACACAGAACTTGCTCGTTCAACGTTAGAAGTAGACAGTGACAAATCAAACTCCACGATAAAAAAATGTTCGTATAATCAATCCAACATTAATGTAATAACTAAATTGCTCGATGCTCGCTCAATCACGTAATTGTAGATGTGGCGATTAAGTGAATTGAGTCAAATATTCAATCTTCCAATACTACATATCTTATCTTAAGTAAAGATCATTTAAACAAATGGTGACGTGAACCAGATAATAACGATAAATAAAATTAAAATTAAACCTAATTTAATATTACCAAACTCATTTGTCAAATTCATTAATCTTTTCAACTTAACCACTTACATGATATACGTAATTATCCAAATGTCCTCTTAATTAACAAATTAATAAGCATTCATTTAATTTAGAAATAATCTACTTTTTGAAAAATACATTTTTAATAATCTAAATTAGTTATGGTTTCCAGGCTCAAAGAAATTCAACCCCTTACTCAAACTTAGGCCTTCTATCAACAAGTTTTTGTTTAAATGGTCTTTGACCAAAATTCTTTAAAAGGAAAAAAAATTAATAATTTAAAATTTTCAAATGTCTACTTTACCCTCCCTTTTATAACCAAATAAATAAATAAATTTTTGAAGGTTCAAGGTTTTGAACCTTTAACCTCATGGAAAAAAATGCTTCCCATATCACTAGGACATTGAATGATATTATTTGTTTGATTGCAATAATCTATATATATCAAATTTAAATAGTCCGAGGATTCGAACCTTCAACCTTGAAGAAAAAGTTTATTGGAATGTTTTCCTCACCATTGGGATATTGAACAATATTGTTTATTTTATTACAATAACCTACATATCTTGAATAATTATAGTCAAATTTTCAATGTCCAGGTATTTGAAACTTCAACCTCTAAGAAAAATGATACCTAAAATTTGAAGGAGTTTCCAGAGGAGAAGAGACTGATAGGGTATAAGTGGNTTTCAATCATGCTGCATGTAGTTGTCACAATCCCCACCAACAGTGATAGATAAGTAATTGCTACCTTTGGGCCGTTCAATTAATGTAGATTTAATACACAACTATATCAATTATTGTATTAGACAGTGAAACTACTTATGTGTGGGTTGGGGGGGTAGGGGGGGGGTTGTCACAACCCCCACCAACAACTCACATAGGGAGGGTGGATATATATATATATATATATTTTTTTTTTACTTTTTTATTAAGGTATGTGAGAGGGTGTAGGGGTTCCCCTATACAAAGGGATTAATTCTTATAATTTTTGGAGTTTTTCAAATAGTTTAGTCGACTTTAATTCTATTAAGCTAAAATTAGATTTTTAAAATAAATTTAATGAGATATTTGGTTGAAAAATTGATAAAAGTGGTAGGTTCCGTGAAGTGTGTTATTGAGCCCCTGTTTGATGCATATTATTTCAAAATTTATTTTCAATCACACGTTCTTTAATAAAATAATATTTTTCATCACATCAATAAATTTTCATTACTTTTTAACCACATATTTCTCATCATATCACTATTTATAATACATTATTTCCTCAATAATATCCATCGAACATATACGAGGAAAAATGAATTTTAGAAAATAGGGATGAACGGTGATTTTTCTTTTTTCGTCTTAAATTTTCTTTTTTGGCTGCTACTCCTAATACATTACTGCATTTTGATGAAAATCTAGTGATTAATAATAAATAATCCACATATATTTCACAGATCACAAACTCAGTATTGCTCGTTGAAATAAAAAACGATAGATGTGGTAATTGGAAACCCTCACTTCGGGAAAATATGTTCCAAACGTAGAATGGGTTTGAATTATTGCACGAACGACGGCCTCACCTCAACCCCATTCAGTGAATTGATCGGACAACAATCAAAATTTGTTTAAATCTTACCATTTTACGTGCTTATAAAAAGTCGAATATTTTTATTTAATAAATATGTCTAGTAAAGACCGATTTCATTACTGCCTTAAATAAGTAAGACGTGTTGGGTGGGGTGGGGGGGGGTTACATGTCTATTTAATAATACAGACATGGGCGGACCCGGGGGGTCACGTGACCCTCCAACTTTTGATATTTTTTTTTCGATAAAGTCATGTTTTTTTATCAATTGAAATCTAAATTTTAATTTAAATCAAAGTTAAAAATTAATTTTAATAACATATTTCATGGAATCCATAACTATTTAACTTTTATCAAAATTTACTAAAAATTTGATTTTAATATCCACCAAATAGGGGCAAAATCACAATAAATTTGAATTTTTCTCTTTTTTCTTGTTCTCTTTTACTCTTTTCTTCACGCTTTTTAACAAAATCTTAACACTTCTAATTTTTTAAAATTTGTATATAATTTTTCTACAAATTATCACATTTACTACAAATCTTCACTTTCCAATCAAATTTTCAAGTAATTAGAATTTAAATTTGTATTTTCTCCGATCAAATTGTGTATATAGAATGTGTTTGAACTCATTATATCCAATTTGACTTATATTTAACGAATTGTGTTTATTTGATTGATTATTATTATTGAATACTAGTTATATGTGTTTCCTTTCAATTAGTTGAATTGATTGCTTGTATCAAATACATTATAAGATTTTTAAACGTAAATATGCATTTTCTTGTGATGAACAAAATATTAATAAAATGACTCTTCGAAATCAAATTGATGAAAATGATTAGCAAAATATTAATGAAGAAATATTTTTTTAAATGTAAATTTGCATTGCTTCAAGTCTAGTATGAATTATTCAAAAATCAAGAATAAAGTATTCGATTTGTACAGTGTTAGATTGCGCCCCTCTATCATAAAATGTCTGCGTCCGCCTATAAATACAGACATAGAGTAAAGAATTAGACATGAGAGTTCTACAAGTAATTATTTACTTAAATCAGGTGATTATATATCACCATCCAACAGTATATCATTTCCACAAGTAGAATATATTCAAGTGGGTTCTGCGTACATATATAATAATGAATAATGCATTACTCTAAAATAATTGGCATAGCGTATGAAAAGCATTCATTGTCATATCGGAATCTATTTTTTAAATAAATATTTGAAGGAGTAAGTAACTTGTTTTTGAGTTGTTGGTTTCAAATTGCAAGCCAACTAATCTACTGGACAGTAAACAATAGATTATTAATGTAGTCGACTTTAATTTTTTAAGAAGAATAATAATTTTTTGTTGTTGTGAGAAATTATGTCATATTAGTATTAAATTTGAGATATAGACTAATTAAGTAAATTTTTCTTTGTTGTTCGGTCTTATTTATTGTTGCATTTAGTTGAAAATCCAGTGAGTTAGAGACAATAAGTTAGGTTAATGTGATTTATTTTCTCTCTCGTTTGACTTGTTTATCAACCAGAGCTAATTTAAGCGTATACAACACATACATAATTCTATCCATAAAATTTAATTACCGTTCGATAGATGCATATAATAACTACCGTCAAAGTAATCTATCCCTTCATTATCTAGACTAGATCAAGTCACCAACGTAGAAATGGACATTTGGTTCACGTTAGAGTGCACGTTTCAATAATACCATTATCACAGTTACAAATGTATGGGATCAGGTGGCTTCTTAATCCTCAGCTGGTACTTTTGGACTTAAAGGTACGAGAAGAGAGACACCATTTGTCACCATTTGTCGAACGTTGAGACAAGGCTCAAATCAGTTATGCTACAAGTACATTTTCTCCGACATTAACTTTTATATTCTTCTACACGTTACTATTATAGCCTTTAATTTCCCTAACATTTTTTCACATCACTACTTAGATTGTGCCACATAGGGGGCAATATCATGGAAAATGTAGACAAGAATGAACATCTAGCAAAATTAGTCTCAAATAGTTGATGTTACAATAATTGAGTGTTTGTTTGGAAAAGAAGTGAGTAGTAATAAAATTGGTAGTAAGAATAATGCTATTTAGCACCATTAGTGCTTAGCAGCAATTTAGGTGGCAATTAAATATCATTAAATGATATGTTCATTTAGTGTGTGTTTGATCTCCCTTTTTTTCTCATTATAATGAGAAATATGACCGTTGCAATTCAAAAAAGCAATTCCAACGGTTATTTTTCTTATTATAATAAGGAAAAAATGGGGATTAAACAGAAAATACAAAGTTAAAACATCCATTTAATTGTACCTATTATGGGTGGAATCGGGACAGATGATCTAACACCACTGGTGTTACTTAACATTATTTGGGTAGTAATTATTGGTTATGTGTTGATAATTGCAACTATGGTCCCAATTTTTTAAATATTACAATTTTATCGTAACATTTCATTTGTTGCATCTACAGTCCCAAACCTTTCATTCGATTGCAGCAAAAGGACTTTGAGTGAAAACCATACATTTTATTGTGTGTGTTATTTGACCAGAAAATTAAGGAAAATGAGAATAAAAGAGAGAAGATAAGTAAAAAAGGAGGAAAATTGTTGAGTCCTAATAACTTATCAAGAATTCAAAAAAGTACGAAACATATATCTGGTTAATGTTGGACTCCTACAAAAGGATCCACTCCATGTTTTTAAATGTTTTTTCGGAGGATCCACTCTTTTGGAAGAAGATTTCGTTACAGTTTCTCTTACATTCGGGCAATTGAGTTGGATTTAGTTTCTACGATACTCATAGATTGAGGAGTTCACTGAAATTTTCTAACCCTGAGGTTGTGAGTCCTTATTTAATAGTATTAATAATAGAAGATTAAACTTGCTAATGGCTATTGAGCACTAAAATATAATAACGTGAGATCTGTGTACATATATAATTATTGAGTTGGCGTGCACGAAAACATCTATTGTCATATCGTAATCTACTTTCTAAATAACTTATGATTATTTTTAAGTTGTTCAAATAACTTATTTGCAAGACTACCATATCCATTATTGTATTTGAAAGCGCAAGGCAAATGGATTATTAATTTAGTCGAGTTCGATTCTATTATGAAAAAGGTTTTAATATAATGTTGTTGTTGTGAGAAATTATGTCATATAATGTGTGTGTAATTCCATAAAATATATAGTTAAAATTGATTATTGACTTAGATTTTGATCGACTTTTTTGTTGAAACAAACGGGGGATTAGTGGAAAACTATTGAATGAGATTGTTACAAAAAATTATGTTAGTTTTCAATTCATTTTTCTTTCTTTTGACTTATTTGAGGATACACAACACATATCTCCACAACATGCATCATTCAATTTTCATTTGGTGTCACCTTTATTTGTTCATTTCTATTTATTTTTGTTATTTTGTCTATCATAATATGATCATAGGTGACTCTATATATTTTTGCATTATCTTCTTATGAAAAATGATACCACAATTTTTAATACCTCAAAATATTAACAATTGTTTTTTCAATATTTAGTCTAATATATTTTATTATTCATGCAATTATTCATTAAATAAATGAAGGTGAGATGCTGGCATCGATTTTCTTTAGCTATAAATAGATTAAAAGTTTTGAGTGTTCTGCCCACACTACTTCAACTTGTTCTTGCCTGCCCCTTGCTCGCGAAAATTTGATTCTCTTCACTATAAAGAAAAAAAATGGGTCTTAAAGGTAAATTAACTGCCCAAATTGAAATTAAGGCCGGTGGGGATGTCTTTCATGAACTGTTTAGGTACACACCACACCAAATTCCCAACATGAGCCCTACTACTATCCAACGCTGTGATTTGCATAAAGGAGAGTGGGGAACTGTAGGCTCGATCATCTTCTGGAACTACACTCATGGTAAGCATCGATTATTTAATATTGAACAAGATCATACAGAAACAGTACAATGATAATATTTTATCTTATTATTTTAGTTAATAGTGTCCATTTTTTTTCTAATTCACTGTGGACCTGTGGTATTTACTCATTGTCTAATTGTGTGATATTTTACTATCTGTTGTGTTACATGTACATGATGTTAGATATGATTAGGTCAAAATTTCTTTAACAAAATTTCTCCACTCTTTTTTTGATACCTCATTTATATGTAAACTATTATGTAACTCTATTATATATAAGTAGTATTATTCATCTACTGTTAAGCTTAGAAATTAAATTTGATATAATTATAGAGGGGAAGCCGAAAGTAGCGAAAGAGGTAATTGAAGCCATAGACGAAGAAAAAAGGTCAGTGACATTTAAGATCATCGAGGGTGATCCGATGGAGTTGTACAAGGCCTTCAAAGCCAGTTTTCATGTTGAAACAAATGGTGACGTCGATTTGGTGACATGGACTTTCGAGTATGAGAAGATAAATGACGACATTGAAGATCCACTGTCATTGTTGGGTGTTTGCATTAAGCTTACTAAAGATATTGAGTCTTACCATCTCAAGGCAACCTAATATGCGTATGAGAGTCTCACTAAGCCTTCTCAATTTGTGTATGCGAGTATGTGTGTTTCCTTTCGTTGTTATATCGTCTTTGTAATGAAATAAATATTGCTTGGTGATGTTTCTGAGTTAAATAATGCAGTGGCTTGGTGATATTTGTGTAATTGAGTGATTTAAGTATACTCTTATTTTGTGAAATA